GTATTCCCTCTCCTTCCAGTTTACAAGTCACAACAGGAGGAACCAGTGACATGCCCTTACTAGCCTGATATTTATACTGAGCTCAGAGCAGATTCTTTTCTAGGGAAGAGAAACTCACAGTCAATATCACTGAGAGCTGAAACAGAGAGGAGTTTAGCTAACCCAAGGAAACTTATTTTATTCCATCTGTTTGGATTTACTGAAGGATCCGGTGACTATTCCCTGTGGACACAGCTACTGTATGAACTGTATTAAACACCACTGGGATGGAGATCAGAGGAGAATCTACAGCTGCCCTCAAAGCAGAAAAGAGTTTATACCGAGATCTAATGTTTGGAAAAACTTCATGGTTGGTGCCGCATCTAAAGAAGGCTGAACTCTCAGCTGCTCCAGCTGATCACTGCGTTACGAAACCTGAAGATGTGGCCTGTGATGTCTGTCCTGGGAGGAAGATGAAAGCTGTCAAGTCCTACCTGGTCTGTTTAATTACTTACTGTGAGAATCATCTTCAGACTCATTATCAATTACCTGCTTTTAAGAAACACAAGCTGATGAATCCCTCCAAGACTCTCCAAGACAACATCTGCTCTCGTCATGATGAGGTGATGAAGATCTTCTGTCGTACTGATCAGCAGTGTATCTGTTATCTCTGCACAATGGATGAACATAAAGGCCATGAAACAGTCCCAGCTGCAGCAGAAAGAGCTGAGAAGCAGAAGAAGCTCCAGGAGAGTCGACAACAAATCCATCAGAGAATCCAGGACCAAGAGAAAGATGTGAAGCTGCTTCAACAGGAGGTGGAGGCCATCAATGTCTCTGCTGATAAAGCAGTGGAGGACATTGAGAAGATCTTCACCCAGCTGATCCGTCTCCTCCAGAAAAGAAGCTCTGAGGTGAAGCAGCAGATCAGATCCCAGCAGGAAACTGAAGTGAGTCGAGTCAAAGATGTTCAGGAGAAGCTGGAGCAGGAGATCACTGAGCTGAAGAGGAAAGATGCTGAGCTGGAGCAGCTCTCACACACAGAGGATCACACCCAGTTTCCCCTCAACTCCCCCTCACTGCCAGCACTCAGGGAGTCGACACACTCATCCAGGGTCAAGATCTGTCCTCTGAGACACTTTGAGGACGTGACAGCAGCTGTGACAGAGCTGAAAGAAATTGTGCTGGACGTCCTGAGAGACACATGGCCAAAAATGGAACTGAAGATCACTCAGGTGGATGTTCTACTGTCTGGAATAAAAAACAAAGATGAATTCTTAAAATATTTACAAGAAATCACTCTGGATTTAAACACAGCAAACAGAAATCTGTTATTATCTGAGGGGAATAGAAAAGTAACTTTTATGAAACAACAGTCTTATCCTGATCATCCAGACAGATTTATTGTTTATAATCAGGTCTTGAGCAGAGAGAGTCTGACTGGACGTTGTTACTGGGAGGTGGAGATGAAAGGAGAGGGAATTTATGTAGCAGTTTCATACAAGAACATCAGCAGAGCAGGAAGTTCAATGGATGCTATACTGGGATTCAATGACAAATCATGGTCATTATATTTTGACAAAGGTTGTTACAAATTCTGGCATGACAGCGTTGAAACTCCAGTACCAGGTCCAGTTTCCTCCAGAATAGGAGTGTACCTGGACCACAGAGCAGGTATTCTGTCTTTCTACAGCGTCTCTGAAACCATGACTCTGATCCACAGAGTCCAGACCAGATTCACTCAGCCTCTGTATGTTGGGGTTGGGCTTTCTGAAGGATCCTCTGCTGAGTTTATTAAACCTAAATAGTCAGTAGTGATCTGAGGTTCAGTTGGTCAAAATGTATATTTTAGTTTCAATTTCTTCAGTCTCCATTGTTGTTTACTGAGAACTTGTCATTTCTGCTCAGAGATCAGCTTGGTTTATGGAGCTACTTTGTCAGCTTGTTTGTAGTATTGTTGATGTTGGAGTTTGTTTGGATCCTGTGACTCAAGTTTCTGTTCACTCATGGAGGCTCTCACGTAAAATAATTTTATATTCATGTATTGCTTTGTCTGAATAAATGTTGCTGTTCAAATCTATGTACAGATGAGCTGATGGAAACTGTAATTATCATAATTGTCATCATTAATTTGGTCATCAGTCATTTTATTGGACAAATATCATATTATGAATGAATTTTATCAATTTCCTAATTCTATTTTTGAAGACAATAATAAATTAATGTTTGATTCTTTCTTGTATTATTTCTATTTTGCAAATAGAAATAACTTTGTTTGTTCTAACTGGCCTAAGCCAAAAGACATTTGGTCTAATTTAACTTCATATAGCTAGAAAACATGTTTGTTTATATGATGTATGTAAACTATTGTTTCATGTTTTAAATGTGTGTGGTTTATGCTAAAAAACCTACTCTTCTACCTGGTGCCATCTGGTGGTCAACACGTTGAAGAGCAGTTTGAATTTTCTATTTCACAGGAACTATTTCTAAATTTTCAGAGTTGAGTTGACACCTCAACTCAACTGATGCAGAATGAACTCTAAATAAACAGGAGGTGTCTTGTGATCTTGTACCAGTTCTGATGCTTTAAACATGTAATTGTTTGGCTGAAAATATCTTTTCTGATGAATAAACTTGTTTGATCATGTGTCATGTAGTGATTTTTAACTTCTTGATGTTTGGTTACAGATAAAAAATAATGTTTATCATAATTTGTGGGGCTGGTTAACCTATCAACCCCCTTCTAACGTGACATCACCTTAGTCCCGCCCCTGTGAACAGGAATTCCCCTGCTGTGCTGCTAGTTCTCTTCGTTTTACTCTTTGATTCACACAGATTTAAAGCTGTGTGAATAAAGGTTTAAACCTGTCTGATGACAAAGAGCAGCACGATACTGCAGCATTCTGACTGGTGGGTTAACCATGAGCCTGGCAGATTGCTCAATTCCAGTCCCTCAGCATTTGCATATAATCACAACAGGTTTTGTTTTCTTGTGAAAGATTAATTTGGAGGAGCTGACTGAAAGCAGAAAATTCTCAGTCTGAGGAAAAGTTTTATGTTACATTACATTAAATAAACAGATTAACACTGCTGTTCAAATTATGTTTGAAGCAGGACAGATGTAACAGGTGAACATGGGATAATTTCTCATGTTTATGTTGTATTTGTATTTGTCATTTTTCTAGTGTTTCATTTGTTCAATATATTGTTGCTTCAGTAGTGAATAACTGCATGTAAAATGACACTTGGAGAATGTCAGCAGCTGTTCTGGCTATTGTGAGGCTGCCCAGCCTGTGTGAGGGAATATGCCATGCTATCCACACTCAGACTCAGATTCTGTGTGAGCAGAATGGCAAACCGGATGCAATCCTTGTACAGAATTGCAGGCAAGCTACAATTGCTGGACTCTCTGGCAGGAAGGAATATGTCTTGGAGAAATTGCAAGCTCTGTTGGATTGACTGCAAATTTGGATGTTTTGAGTCACCATTGAGATACTGGTGAGACTTTAAGGCAGAAATTAACAGAGTCGGCCTGACTGAAAACAATTATCTGAACTGACTTCCCCTGTGTGGCCTTGGGAGGTTGGCTAACTCAATTTCCTCTACCAGTTCCGTTCCCTATGATATCTGTGGGCCCGAGTCATAGCTCTACCGGGGCCGGCTAATAAACACTCCATCACTTATCAAAGACTATGGCTGGAGGGGTTACCTGGGACAGTATTCATGGACGTACTTACAAATATACACATCCACACACACAAGCATAGGTTTAAACACACTCTCCCTCTCACCTCAGTACATCTGCTGGCCTCACTCGTTTTGCCCGCTGGTTCGGCAACCTGGGTTCAATGAGGTGCACCAGTTCTTTTTTTTATTTTATGACTTAATGTGAATTCAGTAAATTTATAGGAGAATTCACAGCTGCCATCTGTACAGAGAAACAGTTAGACAGACTTGTACTGAGAAAAAGCATAATGTTAACAGGGTTGGTTAAAAATCTGAAGAAGACTGGACTTCAAGCTGCTTCAGCTGATCACTACTATGCTGGACCTGAAGATGTGACCTGTCCTGTCTTCCACCCTGGTGACCTGTTCAGGGTGTACCCCGCCTCTCGCCCCTTGACCGCTGGAGATTGGCACCAGGATCCCTAACAACCCCTTAGGGATAAGCGCGTAAGATAAGCATATAAGATAATGGATGGAATAATACTAGTAATACTCAACTAAACTACAAAGTAAAAAATAGAAGAGTACTGAAACTGATAAACTACTAAAGGGTAAAACAATAACAATGTACAATATAAGAATCAAATCAATAAAATGATGCAATGATGTCACAGTCAACATGAACTGTGAATGCTAAGATATATTTGGAAATGAGACCAAATTAGGTTTAACTAATTTAGATAAGTTTGCACCAGAATATTCTGTGGATTCCTCACAGTATATACCTTTAGGGTATTCAGTGGAGACTTACCTAGCTGTATGTGTTGATTCATTTTTTTCAGTGCTGTTAAACATAAGTCCAGCTGATGTTTCTGATGCATGTCTTGACTTCCAGTAGATGCCTTTTTACTCATTTGTGTGGGGGGAATGGAGGAGATGGGAGTAGATATTCTGGTGCAAACTTATTAGTTAAAACTAATTTAGTCTCATTTCCAGCAGTTCTGTTTCCAGTTTGTGTCTTGAGAGATGCCTGCTTGTCAGCTTGTTTTGGAACGGTGTGCTCCTGATGTACAGTGGATTACATTGTTATCAGGCGTTGGTGTCAGGCCTTGCAGTTGTTTTTCTACCTTTGCTGGGATGATGATTTCATTGTTTACATTGTCCTGTGTTTTTAAAAAAAAAAAAAACACAGGACACACACACACACACACACACACACACAAATGGATGCCATACAGCTACTTGTACTCAACATGTACACTCTATACAGCCAAGAAGTAGTTCCCTTCTAGGGGAGAGTAAAGAAAAGCAACCCAAAAGTCCAGACCAAATGACCCCAAAGTGGGAAACCAAAGCTCACCCCGTAGTGCAACCAAGGACTCCTCGATGCATGGGGAAATTATTTTACAGATTACGTATGGAGAATCCACACATATATGTAAAGTCCCTTCTTCTGAACCTGGATAAAGGGACACGCCCAAGTGCTGCTGCTGCTTTCTGTAGTGACTTGTTATTGCACACATAGAGACTGTTGTTCTGTAAACAGGGCCATCAAATTCTAAATGGTAGATAGGAATGACTGCCTGACCTTGTTTTTAAGTCAGAAGTAGTGCTGCAAGTTTAAGGGTTGTTTTAGTTGATGTTAAGTATTTGATTACAGGTGAGGCTTTAGAAGCTGCTGTTGCTAAATATAAAAAGTTTCTATGTATTCACTAATCTAACTGGAGATGCAGTATGCTTTTAGTAACAAGAATGACCTTTATAGTTGATGTTTGTTTCCTAAACTTGACTGATGTCAGAATTAGAGAAACAAATGATTGATTAAATCTGGATCTACATTTTAGCAAAAAACTCCAGCACTAAAGTTGTTGCTGTAAAATTTGTTACAGCAACAATTAACTACAGCTGCTCCTGCTGTAGTTAAAGTCACAAGTCTATTTCCTTTCTGCTATAACACTATAACACAAAGTTTATTGCCTGATTGAAAAATAAAAATCACATGTTTAGATTAAAGTTCAAACTAATAAAATCTCCAAAACAGAAACTCACAAAGTCATTCTTACTGAGGTAAAATGGCTCAGAGAGGAATTCAGATGGAGAAAATCTCCTGTTCCATCTGTCTGGATCTACTGAAGGATCCGGTGACTATTCCCTGTGGACACAGCTACTGTATGAACTGTATTAAAGATCACTGGGATGGAGAAGATCAGAGGAGGATCCACAGCTGCCCTCAGTGCAGGAAAGAGTTCATACCAAGGACTGTCCTGGAGAAAAACATCATGCTATCAGAGTTGGTAGAGGATATGAAGAAGATTGGATTTCAAGCTGCTCCTGCTGATCACTGCTATGCTGGACCTGAAGATGTGGCCTGTGATGTCTGTACTGGGAGGAAGATGAAAGCTGTCAAGTCCTGTCTGGTTTGTTTGGTTTCTTATTGTGAAAACCACCTCCAACCTCATTATGATGTCTATGGACTCAAGAAACACAAGCTGGTGAATCCCTCCAAGAACCTCCAGCAGAACATCTGCTCTCGTCATGATGAGGTGATGAAGATCTTCTGTCGTACTGATCAGCAGTGTATCTGTTATCTCTGCAATATGGGGGAACATAAAGGCCATGAAACAGTCCCAGCTGCAGCAGAAAGAGCTGAGAAGCAGAAGGAGCTCCAGGAGAGTCGACAACAAATCCATCAGAGAATCCAGGACCAAGAGAAAGATGTGAAGCTGCTTCAACAGGAGGTGGAGGCCATCAATGTCTCTGTTGATAAAGCAGTGGAGGACAGTGAGAAGATCTTCACTGAGCTGATCCGTCTCATCCAGAAAAGAAGCTTTGAGGTGAAGCAGCAGATCAGATCCCAGCAGGAAACTGAAGTGAGTCAAGTCAAAGATGTTCAGGAGAAGCTGGAGCAGGAGATCACTGAGCTGAAGAGGAAAGACGCTGAGCAGGAACAGCTCTCACACACAGAGCATCACCCCCAGTTTCTCCTCAACTACCCCTCACTGCCAGCACTCAGGGAGTCGACACACTCATCCAGCATCAACATCCGTCCTCTGAGACACTTTGAGGACGTGACAGCAGCTGTGACAGAGCTCAGTGGTGTAATTCAAGACATCCTGAAAGACACATCTACGAACATCTCACTGAAGGTCACTCAGGTGGATGTTTTATTGTCAGGACCAGAACTAAAACCAAAGACCAGAGGTGAAACACCCTCCACCTCCCATTTGCACCTACTGCATCCTGCCCTGTCACCCACTCTGCCCCTGGGAAACAAACCACCCCCTCAACTACCGCTCTCTACTGCACATCAGGAGAACCAGAATCATAGACCAGAGCTGATACCCCCTCACCTTCCATATGCACCTACAGTAGTCTCTCATCCTTGGGAGCCTGAGCTGATGGAACGTTGGTGGCAACGGTGGTAGGAGTCTCCACTGTGTCCTTGGACAGGACACTTGACTGGTGGTGGTGGTCAGAGGGCCTGGTGGTGCTCATACATGGCAACCTTCTATTGCTTCTGTAACACTTCTCCAGAGTGGGTTTGTCTACTATACAAAAGAATGAAAGGACCAAAGATATTTGTCTAAAACCCTCAAGACCCACTTCAGGACCTTCAAAGGATAGTCTGAGTCAATCAGGGAGTCTACAATGTGGTTATAACTACATTGGAAAAGGTGTGACACCTTGTTACGCCTTTTCCTTATTGTCCATGTCCTTATTTCTGTTTAATTTAGTGGTCAATGGTAGTTCCTTTTAGATTAGTTAGATATTTTAATATCAATATAATTCATTCTGTGGGTAATTCAGTGTGGGTATTTTTGTCATAATCTACCTGCAAAGTTTCTCTCGGTGTCAAGAATTCTCTTTAATTCTGTAAAATTTGCTGCAGCCTATAATCTGTATTGTTCATCTATTTCTGTTGCTCTGTAATTTTGTTCATCTGCATAATAAATATTTACTCATGAAATTAAACAATACAGTCTGTATTACGTTAATGTGAGACTCCATGAACCAACTGGCTCAAAAACACACTCCTTGAAATGAAAGATAACCTCTGATCCAAGAGTTTACCTTTGACTTTTTTTTTTTTTTGGTAATTTAAATATTTAAAGAACTGTGGACCCCCGGGATGAGACATTGTCCATGTAGAGGACATATTTTAACAAAGAAGGACGGTCCCAACAGTAAATAAATTTCCTTTATTTACTGTTGGGAACACTTCATGTCTTGGGATGGAAGCCTTGACTTTATATGAGTTTATTCCATTAAGACCACCAATGGTTCCATTTCACTGAAGAACAGGAAGATCAATAGAAAACAGTCCAAACATACAGAGAATGTTGCACAGTTAGCAAAAAATTGTAGCACTGACAAGTATGAACATCCAAATGTACTTAACTTATTGATTTTGAGCTATGACAGTGGATGAACCCAATTGGTAAAAATACATTTTCTCATTACATCTAATACAGATGAAAAACAACGTGTAATTGGAAGCATTGATTGTTCCAATGATATTTCCCAAGGAAGTAGTAGCCATCATGAAATATCAACCACATGATGGAAGAATAATAACTACAGTAAACCCCCTTTTAAAAAAAAGAAAAAGAAAAAGGAAGGAAGCCCCGGGGAAGACCCAGGACACGCTGGAGGGACTGTCTCTCGGCTGGCCTGGGAACGCCTTGGGGTTCCCCCGGAGGAGCTGGAAGAAGTGGCTGGGAGAGGGAAGTCTGGGCCTCCCTTCTGAAGCTGCTACCCCCGCGACCCGACCCCGGATGAAGCGGAAGACAATGGATGGATGGATGGATGGATGGAAGGAAGGTTCACAATCCCCCAAATGTTAGTAGAAAGAACTAAAGGAAGAACTCATGACTTCATCACTGCTACTGAGACAAATAAATCTTACTAGAGACTGTTGAAACCAACAAAGGGGATGGAGCTGTATTGAGGGAAATGTGTTTATTTCGACAGAAATTCACTGTGTATAAGATGGTACATAAACCCTTCTTTCAAGCAGGGATGCTCTGATCCACTTTTTTTCACATCTGATACCGATACATATATTTGAGGTTTAGTGTCGGCAGATTCTGATCAAATGCAGAAAAACGGTAGTGAATTTATTTAAAACTGGAAACAAACACAGCCATAAATGTACTGAATTACAAATTTATTTGATAATGTTGCATCAATATAACATATTTAAATACAGGAATACCTTCACAAGCTTGATCAAACAGAATTTTGTTCAGTCAGTTTCTGAAACTTACAAAAACAATAAATTAACTACCTTAGTCAAACATTCAAAAATAAACTGCAACAAACCAAATGGTTCAAAAAGTCAAATTAGGAATCCTAAACGTTGCAAAATACAGAAACTAAATCCTCTTCTGCACCATAAAATATAAAAATTATCCACCCATTTCTATCCATTACAGTTGTCTTTCATCTTCCTGGTTAAATAATTGTAAATTAAATAAAAATAACAATAGCTGTTGACATGTGTGCAGAGCATTAAAAGCAAACTAAATCATAAAAAACAAACAGCTCTCACTGAGATTTGACTCCTACCGTTCAGGGCATAGAGCCATTCAAAAGAATCGAATTGCTTGTGAACATCACATCGCTCCTCAACAGGTATGACTTATCTAGTTGTATGTATATTTCAAGTTTTGGTACCACTTTATTTGAAGGGATGTGCAAAAGACTGACATGACACTGTCATAAACATGACATAACACCTGTCATGAACATAAAGAAGTCTTTATGAATGTTTATGACAGTGTCATGTCAGTCTTTTGCACATCCCTTCAAATAAAGTGGTACCAAAACTTGAAATATACATACAACTAGATAAGTCATACCTGTTGAGGAGCGATGTGATGTTCA